TTACCTTGTGTTTTTTTGTATTTGTTTTATGTAGGATGCCGGATGCAACGCCGTGGAGGAGGGAGATATGTTTGCCGCTGTCTTTGTCTTCGTTTGTTGAGGGGCAGCAGATGCATGCAGATGAATTCTTTCAGCTCTGGTGCATGCAAACTTTCGTCTTAAACGAAAGTAAAACACAGAAATCCAGCCCCATGAACACCCCCGCATGCATGCATGCATGCATGCATGCATGTTTATGCTCTCGCCCCACCGATGACTTTTCTGTCTTTTTTTTTGTTCGTTTGCTGCGATATCTTCTGTCTCCTTTTGGTTTTCTGTCTCCTTTTGTGCTGACCTTTTTCCCTTTTTTTTTGTATTTGTTTGTATGGGGTGTAGTTTTTGTATCGGTATTTTATTTTTTTATTCTCCTCAGTTTCTTTCACTTCCTTTGCTGCTCTGTGTGTGTTTCTGCTGCTGCATCTGCTGCTGCTTCTGCTTGTGTCTCTCCCGCTGTCTCTCCTGCTGCTTTTGCTGCTGCTTCTGCTGCTGATTCTGCTGCTGCTTCTGCTGCTGCTTCTGCTGCTGCTTACAGCTGCATGCATCCTTAACCTCCACCCTCAGCTGCAGGCTTCAATGCTGGTACTTGTCCGCCGCCTCCAACTCGTAAGCCTGCTGCTGCTGCTGCTGCTGTTGTTGCTGCTGCTCTTCCTGTTGTTGCTGTTGCTGCTGCTCCTGCTGTTCTTGCTGCTGTTGTGTGTGTTGCTGCTGCTGCCTGCTGCGGCTTTCGTCTTTTTTGCTGCTGCAACCGCTGCAGTCGACGGGAACCTCCCCCTGTCATTCAGGGCTACTCTGCTGCTGTTCCTGCTGCAGTTGCTGCTGCTGCTGCTGCTGTTTGTGTTGTTCAGGGTGGAGCTCTTGCCTTGTGCGCAGCAGCAGGTGAAGGCCATGCGCAGACGCTGGCGGTGGCGGGCAGCATGCAACGGCCTCCAGGACTGGGCGTGCAGCAGCAGCAGCAGCAGCAGCAGCAGCAGCAGCAGCAGCAGCAGCAGCAGCAACAGCAGCAAGATCAGCAGCATGTGCAGCAGCAGCAGCAGCAGCAGCAGTCCTCCGACCGCTTGATTGTGTTGGCCAGGTGCGTCTTATGCGGCTTGCTGCAGTGGGGCTTTTTAAGACAGATTGCATGCATTCATTCACTTGCATACGTACACTGGCTCTCAGTGCTGATAACAACTCTTCCTGCTGCTGCTGCTGCTGCTACTGCTGCTGCGGCTGCTGCTGCTGCTACTCCTGCTGCTGCTGCTGCTACGACTACTCCTGCCGCTGCTGCTGCTGCTGCTGCTGCTGCTGCTGCTGCTGCTTAGGCTGGAGCTGGGATCTGGGGTGCATCAGGGCCGCGGCCGGCTGGTGGTGCGAGCCAACGACGGCGTGCTGAGTGCAGCGGTTCGTTCTGAGCTGTATGCGCAGCTCTCTAGGGCCCCCGTTGCCTCTTGAGGTGTACGTACACCTCAGCTGCAGGTGTGGTGTGGCGGCTGCTCTGATCCTACGGAATATTTCTTTGCAGTGCTGCTGGGACCGCCAGCAGCAGCTGCAGCAGCCAACACGTCTAGCACCAACAGCAGCAGCAGCAGCAGCTGCAACCGCAGCAGCACAGCTACAACGACAGCAGGTGTAGCTGCTGCTGCTGTTGCTGCTGCTCATGCTGCTGCCTTTTTTCTTTTGTCTTGCAGCAGCAACAACGAGTGCTGCTAGATTTTTGTGCTGCATTGCCATGGGCCCTTTGCTTCTCGCTGTACAGGGAGGACCGGCAGCAGCAGGTTTTTTATGTTTCGATTGCCGCTGCTGCAGCAGCTGCATGCATGCATGCATGCATGCATGCATGCATGCGTTCAGCAGCACGCAACTGCATGCAGTTGCAGCGTAGAACTCTATACTAAGAATTTATGCAAATGTACAGCACAAGGCCTCTCGTAGAAAACGCACACACAAACGCAGCATGAGCCGCCAACTTGTATAGACGCGCTTATATAATGTATATATATATATATATATATATATATATATATATATATATATATATATATATATATTGTACCTACATTATGGGCGCCTTAAGGCTCGGAAACTCTACACCTGCAGGCTGTACACCTGAATCTGTCTATGTATATCCATATATACCTACATATATATATATATATATATATATATATATACATATATATGCATGTATATATGTATGTATGTATGTATGTGTGTATTCATGCATTTGTAGTAGAATGTATGTTCAGCTCATCCAACTTGAGGGGCATCAAAACAGCTAAGAAATAACTTTTTAAATTTTCGGTGTCTATACAGCAGAAATATTTCTCTTGAATTTCAGCTGAAGCTCGTGAAGAAAAGCGGTAAACCTTCACCGCTGCTCCTGCTGCTGCTGCTGCTGCTGTTGCTGCTGCTGCTGCTGCTGCAGCCCTCCGATGGCTGTAGCCCTGGAGGCGCAGCTTTAGGTATGCGTATTAGTCTTTTTTTTTCTTTTTTTAATGAATTAATTAATTAAAAAAGTAAAAAAAACAACCAACAGTGATACTTAATGCTCCACAGACTCACCATGCGCCTCCGCCCCCCAGCAGCTCGCGATCGTCTGACGCAGCTTAGCAGCATTTTATCGCATGCAATAAATAAACCCAAATTATTAAACAACACAAATGAATCATTTTTATTAAATGTAATAAATAACACAAACAAAACTAAACCAAATACCCCCCCAGCAGCTGCCCACGCACTTTCAGCAGCCTCTGCTGCTGCAGCGCCGGGGGTCCGGCCGGGTGTTGCTGCTGTGCAGCTTGGGGGGTTCTACAAGCACTGCAGCAGCAGCAGCAGTGCTACCACCAAGTGCAGATGCAGCAGCAGCTGCTGCTGCTGCTGCAGCAGACGGGGCCTGTCAACGCATGCAGCGGACTCTCTACCTGAGGTGACCCCCGCCATCATCGGCGCTCAGCTTGTACGGGACCCCTACGAGCAGCTGCCTGCATCCCTTTCCACCCCCAGCAGCAGCAACAGCAGCAGCAGCAGCAGCAGCAGCGATGTGTGTGGCGGGTCTGATCGTCACGTGGTTGTGCGTGATCCCAGTACTGGAGAGGTGATAGGGTGTACGCCGAACTTGGGTTCTGCGTGGGTGCGTGCAGCAGTTGCAGCAGCAGCAGCAGCACAGCCGGCATGGGGCAGCAGCTCGGTGCTGCTGCGCAGCAACTTGCTGCTGCAGTGGAACCGGTTGATAGAAGAACGTAAAGAGTCGCTGGCGCAGCTCATCACAGCAGAAACAGGAAAGCCAATACCAGAAAGCAGACAAGAGGTGATGTATGCAGCTTCTTACATTCGCTGGAGTGCAGAGGAGGCGCGGCGGCTCAACGGCTTAGTTATTCCTGCAGCAGACAGCAGCAGCAGCAGCAGCAAGCTGCAGTATACAGTCAAGGAGCCGCTGGGTGTCTGTGCGTTGATAACACCATTCAACTTCCCTCTAGCTATGGCTGCTCGCAAGGCAGCAGCAGCACTTGCTGCTGGCAATGCATGCGTGCTGCGGCCATCAGAGGAGACGCCGCTAACAGCATTAGCTTTGGCTGCAGCAGCAAGAGAAGCAGGCCTTGCTGCTGGTTTGTTTAGTGTGGTGCCTTCATGTCGCTCGGGTGCTGCAGCTTTCTCTGCTGCTGTAGCAGCAGACGATGCTGTTGCGGTGCTGTCGTTCACTGGCTCTACTGCCGTGGGGCGTGAGCTGTATAGACAGTGCGCAGCAACAACCAAGCGGCTGCTGCTGGAGTTAGGTGGAAATGCTCCTTTTATTGTGTTTCCTGATGCGGATATCGATGAAGCTGTGCTGGGGCTGCTAGCAGCAAAGCTACGCTGCTCTGGCCAGGCCTGCATCAGCGCCAACCGGGTGTACGTACACCGCAGCGTCTTCGAGGATTTCTCTCGCCGCTCCACCCGCCTCTTCAAGCAACAAACCATGGGCAGCGGCAGACAACACGGAGTCTCTGTGGGGCCCCTCATTAACCCGAGAGCTGTGCAACGCGCACAAAGCCTCGTCGATGACGCATGCAGCAAGGGGGCCAAAGTCCTCCTCGGCAGCAGCACCAGCAGCAGCAGCAGCACCAGCAGCAGCAGCAGCACCAGCAGCAGCAGCAATGGTGGTGGCGGTTATTTTTTTCCTGTGACAGTACTGGATTGCCGTGAGGTGTGCAAGAGTGCTCGTGTTTGTGTGGAGGAGTTGTTTGCCCCTATAGTGAGTTTGTTTACGTTTGAGGACGAGAAAGAAGTGCTGGATGCATGCAACGCAACAGAAGCGGGGCTTGCTGCGTATGTATACACAAAAGATATAAATAAAATTCTGAGAGTAACACAGCAACTCCGTGTAGGCATGGTCGGCGTCAACACTGGCTCTATCTCCTCCTGCGAAATTCCTTTTGGGGGCTGCAAGGCCTCGGGCTTCGGCAGAGAAGGGTCCGTGCTCTGTCTAGATGATTACACCAATACAAAAGTCGTTGTCGTCAAACACTAAACCCTAAACCCTAAACCCTAAACCCTAGCAGAGAAGGTTCCGTGCTCTGTCTAGATGATGACACCAATACAAAAGTCGTTGTCATCAAACACTAAACCCTAAACACTGAACCCTAGATGATTACACTGATATGAAAGTTGTAGTCATCAAACACTAAACCCTAAACGCTAGACCGACGTCAAACCCTAGAACAAGGAAAGCACTAAACACCAAACCCTAAACACTAAAACGGAAGCACTAAAAGAGAAACCTTCAGCACTAAGCAGGAAACCCTAAATCCTAAACGTTAAACCATAAATTCAAGCCCCGTTGTTTAGGGTTTAGGGTTTTGTGTTTAGTGTTGCGTCTCTAAACACAAAACCCTAAACCCTCAACAAGGAATACGAAGCCCTCAACGTGAATGACAGCAGCCTGAGACGAGGAGACAACAACCGCAAGACAGAGATGAAGGCAAAGCGAAACGATTGCAAATTCTTGCTGACAAACCACCTGCTGCTGCTGCTGCTGCTTCTGCTGCTGTTGCTGCTGGTCGTTTGTTGGGTTTGTATGGCCTTGTTTTCTCTCCGCGTTGCAGTGGGCAACGGCATTGTCTGTATCATATATATATATATATATATATA